TGCGTTAAGTTGAATTTAAAATGCATCAAAAACTAAATCTTACTGCAATCGGCTTTAACAAGATATAGTTACATTCATGATAATAAATGCAAACATGAGTTTTTAAATTCTTAACATTTTAACATCGCCTTTCTTAAAAAAGCGGAGGCGCCGTAGATCGCCTTACTCTTAAGCCTTTCTATTTTTACTTCAAAACGATTTAAGATACTGAATCTAAGCAAGAAGCCATAATATATATATTAGACTCAATATTAGAAAAAATGTAACTAATCTCAAGGAGCAAAAACATTTCGCAAGAAAAGCCAGAGAAAACTTTCTAGGATTATTAGAGATAAATCATACGAAAATGACATATGGCTTCTTCTAAAGGTTACTTTTTATAAATTTATTGTTTTATTACGATTGGCAGCATTCTAGCTTATTGCTTTCTTAATGATGTATATTTAAAACAAAATTTTTCCTCACATTCATTTTTATTAATAAACTGAAAGAAATGTGTAATAAAATGTTTTATTGATTTATGCTTCTAATTGGTTACTACTTTTTTACAATTTATGAGCATGTACCATCACTATAGTATGCATACATCTTAATTAGCATAGTTTGAATTTTTTTTTCAATGTCGCGAAAACAGAAAAATTGGAAATACCAAAAAAAGTACCAATGCCTGTGAAACTCAAATAGAAGAACCATTAGTATTTTTTTGACAGCTTTATACCATGTAAAGCATGTTCACATTTAAAGCTTCGCTTAATTTACTTCATTATTTGTTATTTTTTATCCCACCAAGGATGGCCTTCACATTACAATAGATTTTTTTCTGTAATTTTCATGTATGAGTTGGTGGCACATTTTGTAAGACAACTTTCACTGAAATACTCACGAGCAAAACAATGCAGAAATATATATATAAAAAAAATTACTCGAAACCTAGAGGTAATAAATTATTTTTAAATATGAGGAACCATAATTATGCAGAACAATGTAGAAAATTAGTTATCAACTCATATTACAAGTAAATATTTTGCAACGCTAATATGATAAAAAAAAAAAAAAACTTAAAATATTTTGTATTTAAATACAATAAATATTACAGATAAATGCCTTATGTGCTGAGCTTTCATAATTATTTGTTGTAAAAGGAGAAGTTCCAATTACTGTTCCTATTTGTTCCATTTACTGTTTCCAATTAGGCAATTACTCCTGGAAAATTTGGAACAATGGATAGATTTGAAATATAAGCAACCTATAAATTTCAGAGCAGGTTTTCTCTAATTCACAGAATTGTCACTTAAATAGTTTATTTAGTAAATTCTTAATTCATCTACTCTGTTCATTTGCTCTGTTCTTTTAAGCACAATTGTGCTTTAAATATAAAATTTCTTAGGGGTTGAAAATGCTTTCATTTGATGAGGTTAATAAAGTGTGGATCTTATGGCCTAATATATAATGTATCATAATCTCTGCGCAATATGTAATATATTACATAACTGTGATAAAGTTTGTAAGAGATGGAAATTTTAAATAATTAATTATAATTAGTTAAATAAATAATTCAGCTTCACTGGAATTTAAAATAATCTATTAGCTGCTATTAAGATAAACTGATGAAAATATATCCTTTAGTTAAATAGGCTTTTCATTTCAGTGCTGGTGTTGAACAGTTGATTAACATACATCTGTGCAGCTTATTTTAAACCTAGCAATTTTAAACCAGACACAGAAGACAAGGTAACATTCATAGAATTGGGATCCTCTAATGTAATTGATGTTTAATTGAAGAGAACTTATGACCTAAGGTCTAAAATATAATTTAAAAGCAAATTGTGTATAGCTTTGTTTGTCTAAAAATGATCTTTTTTTTTCTATGGAAAGTTTGCTCCTCTTTGTAGACCTTAATTACGTTTAAGAAATGTTTCAAAAAATTTTCAACAAATAAAAGTTAGCTTGAAAAAAATAACACAAATGTTTATAATTAATTGGAAAAATTGTATTAAGTTATTTCACTGAACTAAAAAATATTGCAATAAAACAATTCTTCAATTATTATTTCACATGCAAGTTTCAATTTTTAGAAAATTAATGAATTTTTTAACTATGTTTCTTTTTTTTTTTTTAATTCTTTATGTCCAAAATTAAATCTCTATTTCAAACACTTGATTTAAATCAGTCCTGTTTATCTAATATTTAAACACAAAAACAAATGTTTCATTCAAACATTTATAAAATAGAAAATAACTTTTTATTTTTTGTATTTGATAAAGCAGAAAAAGTTCAGGTTTTGAACGGAATAATTAGATTATATATGAAATATATAAATTAATTAAAAACAACATCCTTCAATAAATATCTTATTAGTGAAATATCTTATTAGTGAAATATTTTTAAAATATTAGGTGAAGTTAAAATTCATAACAAAATTGAAAGGTTTTTATTTTGAAAGGTTATTCTTTCCATTAAATGCCATGCCAATAATAATAAAAATAGTAATATTATTAATTATTTTAAACATATCATAATTAAAAGATCAAAATTTCTCCAAGTGTGAAGCTCTACTTTAGAAGAAGCTAAATGCACAGTTTTCAAAATTTTCAAATAAGAACTCTACGTACTATATAAAAACAAACATGCAAAATTTTCTAGTTAATAACTTAATTAACATAAAAACTTATTTCCTAAAGGAACAATAATTACTTTTCAAACAAAATATTTTATAAAATACTTTATAAATTATTTTAATTTTTAAATTTAAATATCTAATTATAACTTATATAATAGAAACAAATATTTCATTCTGTATATATAATTTTTTCCAATGCCAATAAATATCTTTACTTGATACGTAAACAAATGAAAATCATGAGTTTTCTTTAAAAATTCTAAAAGTTCAACCTGTCAGCGTTTAGTAGTTGATTTCACAGAATATTTCATTTTATGGAAAGAAGGAATACAAAAGTTGTTTTGAATATGTTATGATAAAATTTCCCTAATTATACAAAGCTACAATTAAATAAGAAATAAGAATTTAAAGTAAACAATTAATAAATAAGAAAATAAAGTTTTTTTTTAACTATATGTTTTTAAAATTATTTTTTGAACAAGAAAATTAAAATAAAACCCAATTGAAAGTAACTAAATTTCTTTTAGAAATGACTAGTTAGCCTAACAACTCAATAAATTTAGGTAATAGTAAATTTAAAAAACCAAATTAAATTGCGATATTTTCTGTTTTGAAATAAAATTTAAATATTAATACAAATAGCGTTATTATAAACAATGCTGGCATGGAGTTGACACAGTAAAGGACAGATTTCTTAGTGATGTCTACCCAGCTTCCAAATTCTAGGTTCCCTATGTGAGCAGAAGACTCACCCAATTAGAACTAACAAAATTAAGGTTCCCTATGTCAGCAGTGAAGACTCACCTAATTAGAACTAACAAAATTAAGGTTCTCTATGTGAGCAGTGAAGACTCACCCAATAAGAACTAACAAAATTAAGGTTCCCTATGTGAGTAGTAAAGACTCACCCAATTAGAACTAACAAAATTAATGTTCTCTATGTGAGCAGTGAAGTCTCACCCAATTAGAACTAACAAAATTAAGGTTCCCTATGTGAGTAGTGAAGACTCACCCAATTAGGACTAACAAAATTAAGGTTCTCTATGTGAGCAGTGAACACTTACCCAATTAGGACTAACAAAATTATGAGTATTTGGGTTTGGGAGGTTATAGGGATTTTTAGAGGGTTGTTAACAAGCTATAGATAAAATAATATTTAATTATAAGTCTGGTATTGGAGAATTATTTCTGTTTCTATTTCACCATATATTATTTGCTTTTAAACCATTTATGTTGTTAAATTTGTTTGCATTAAAAAAATATTTTTAACAATGATAAGAAAATTCTGTACGACTCAATTTGATTTTAATACTGAAAGACAGATTTTTGCAGGCTGAATTTCATTATTAAGACTATTATTGACTATAGTAATTTGGTAGCATAGATTTTACAATAAAATTTTCCATGCTATGTCGTTATAAGCTATGCCGTATTATTATACTTAAAATATATTACACAGCACTTAAACTTGACATTAAAATAAAAACTTGACAATATTGGATTCTTAGATTAATCGCACTCAAATTTCTCTGACTTTTTAGGTAATATTCCCTATCCTTTTCCTGATTTAGCAGACTGATATAATTTTCTGTCTTTTCTCTGTTCAATGGCCCACTAAATACCAAATATCTTTTTTCCCTTAAGAATTATCTATAGAATAATGAGTTAACAAAAATTAAAATAAATATAAACTCAAATTTACCAACACGTCATAATTTATTTATGTAATAAAGAATGTAGAACAGTGCAATGCCTTCTTAAATCAGGTTCTGTGCCTGAATTTAAATAAGAAATCCACACTTTATCTAAGTAATAGATATTTTTTGCTTTTAACTAAATTGTTTGAAAACACATTCTCAACAATTCTTTCGAACTAAACTAGTTCATAACTGTATTTTAATCCTCGAATACAATATACTTTTTCTCCTAGCAAACACTTAACATTTCAAACCATGATAAACCTAAGTTATTTTTATAAATTTTAAAAGCTTTCTGTTAATTATGGGTGTTAAATACAGTTCAGTATAGAAACAAACAGACAACAAAATTTATACTAATTACTTTTTTGGAAAATTTCAGCTATTTATTCATACTTAGATTCGAAGTTAAAAAACGAAGTGAAAAGTAAACAATGCTTAAAAATAAAATACAACTTTGTTTTAACAATAAAACTTTAATTATTATTTATTTTTTGATTATATATTACTAAAACACTTTCTCTTGGTAATGCAGATAAACAAAAGGCGCGCGTTTAGATTTGGACAGCGTATAGAACAAAACAAAATACGAATTAAAATTATTTAGTGTTATATTAAATACAATAGAATAACTATAACAAAGAAAAAGCGAAGAATTTTTTTAAGAATATTCTATTTCTTACCTCCAACAACATGCCTTCGACGTCGAAGTCCGTATATGATAGTAGCTGCACAAAGTAAAATCAACATTGATCCTATGGCGATCATAATTATCGCTGCTTCACCCATACTTTCCGAATTCGTATAATTTGAAGAAGAAATTTGAGAAGTCTCTTCCATCTGCACCCCCATATTTCCCGTCAAATAACCAATTTTGTACGGAAGAATTTACACACAACAGCTATCACTTCAGCCTGTCGCTCAAAGAGACAGTTTCTTATGAAATGAATTACTATTGATGCTAGTTGATTATTGCCTGTGTTGATGCTCTCATTTTCAAGCATGTTTAGTCGATCGCCATCTAGTGGCGAAACCAGACATTAGGAATGAAAAAAAAAACTTTCATTTTAAAGAATGACAGCAAAACCTTGATCAAAACAAAAGAACGAATTTTGAAAAGAGAAAATAAAAAATGCATTCACTGCGTAATTCCGTTTCATATTATTTACAAACAATGATCGTAATCGCTACCAAATAAATAGAGTTGAAATTATACAAAAGAAGAAAATAAAGTATTCTGAGAAATTAATTAGTGGCTCGAATTTTATATATAAATAGACTTATCATATCAGTTCAAAAGTTGACTTCATATGAGCTTTTTTTTTTATTCAATTTTTTTATTTCTACACTTAACAACAATAGAGCGCTAAACAAAAGAATTTCAATTTTTTTCTAAAAGATTAAAATCAGTAAATTCCGTTTAAATTGTTTGTTTTATATGAACAAATCTTTCACTCTAAAACCAGTGGTCGAGAAATTATAGCGTATCCCGTATTCACTAGAAGAAATAAGCACACAGAAGGTTACAAATATATTTTCAGACCAATTTTCTCTAATAGCACAAATTTCTAGTACTATTTCTAATAGCACTAATTAAACAAAATATCTTTGCACTCATTTATAAAACTCGCTTACTCAAAGATGATTTCATGCAAAAAATAAGTTTTAATAAACATTTTTAATTTCCTTATAATTTGATTTAATAATGACCAAAAATTTTTTAATAATAAAATTGGGATACAAATTTTCGCATCTTAAACAATGTAATTTTAAATGACAAAATATAAAATCTGAACGAATCGAGTCACTAAAAGTTCAAAATTCACGATTTTTCGATTTTTTTTTCCTTAAAAAATTGCCTCGAAAACAATAGGATTTCGATCATAATTTAGATAGTATAATTTAAAATTATAAAGTTTTACAAATTGCGAAAAATGTTGTAATTTACACTACGAAATTTTATTTTATATGTATATTATAAAATAAAAGTAAATTATAAAAATATATTACAAAGTAAAAGTAAATAATAAAAATAAAGTGAAGTAAATAAAAAAAAGTAAAGTAAATAATAAAAATTTACAAATTGTCATTAAAAATTATTTTTCGTAAGAAAATGAGTTTTATAAATTAAACTAAAAATTAATGTAAGAGAAAATTTTATTTTTATTTATTTTTTCTCTCTCCTAGGATAGCTTCTCCAAATTTTTCCATATTCATCTAAATAAATTTTAATCTATAATGATTAGAAATTTTGATAAAAAGAAGAAGAAAAAAAAGTAACTTAGGCATTATTGGTTCTTTGAAAATTCATGCTATTCCCAAGAATTAGTAAAATGCCCAGTTGAACCAGATCAAAACACATTAACAGAAAAGTAAACCCGCGTTTCTTTCTTCTTATTATTTATTTTTTATTCATCTTTTATACATGTACTATAATTTATATCAATAAATTTAAAGTAAAATAAAATACTGTATACCTATTAACACTGCCTTTGAAGAAAAATTCAAATTACCACATCAAATTCTGAAGCAGTTTAAAAAAGTAAAATTTTATGAATTGAATCTTTCTAGAGTTGGTATATGTTATTAAATACACTTATAGGTAGTATGGCGCATTATAAAATTATAGAAATTTAAAAGTACTGACATTTTCGAATTTTAATCAAATTTTCCGAGTCTAAACTAGTTAATTATAATTATTTTTCTACAATTTGTACATGGTTTGCTACTAAGCAATATAATTTTTTAAATTTTTGTATTGCGCTTAGAAAAACTAACAAACAGCAATTGTTTTGCTTTATTTTACTAACATATAAGTTCGAAACAATTCTAAAAGAATCGATTTTTTTAATAACGCGGACTATCTTTATATAGTTTAAATTTAAGACTTTATTATAATAAGCCGCAACATAGTAACGTGAAAAAAAGGGGGTAGTAAATTTTTAGTTAAATTTATTGGATAGTTTATAATTTCAGCTATGACTGTAATTTGAAAAAATTGATTTCTTTGAAATAATAAATCTAAACTATAAATAATTTGCGTTTTTGTTTTACCGGAAACCAATTTTTGAAGTTCAATTTTTAATTGTAAAATTTTTAAGGATAACCATCGAAATAAATTAAAAAATCGTTAAAAATGTGGCGTGTCATCAATACTATAAACAATTGTATTTTTGTTATAAATGTAAACTTTTGTAGTAAACCTAAAAGACTTAAATTTTTTATTTTAAAAATGAAATAATTATGCTACCAATACTTCGTATTTATTTAATTAATTAATTTTTTTCCGGTTGAAAAAACTAACCTATCCCCAAAAAGAAACTGTAGATACTATAAGATTAAAAGTTAATTACGAATTAATTAAAAAATACGTATAATTCGTATTCTTAAATCATTGTACCCTTAAATTTATACCACTTTTTTGTGCTAAACCATGGTTATTATTTTATAATAAGTTGCTGATAAGTATTTCTTACAACCAAAATTCCGATAACAATATTTTGACTGTCTAACTGTACGTGTCGATGTCGGAAAATGATGCTAAAATTGTTTTGTGTTCATTTTTTTATGTTTTGTTGTATAATATCTCCTAAAAAAATTGAAAAAGAGTTCTTAATAACGTAAACCTTATAAGTCATCAATAAATTTTACTTAACGGAGCCAAAATCTGATTAGCAATGCTTTGATTACCTAGTTATCCGTTTCGATGTCGGAAAATTGTGCTACAATTATTTCGAGCTCATCTTTTTTGTTTTATGTTTTATAATAGCTTCTAAAAATGTGAAATAAGTCTACCATAAATATTCCTTAATACAACCAAAATTAGTATAACCATTAATATATTACGATTTTCTGTTTGTACGTTTCGATGTCAAAAAATAATGCTATAATTATTTTGTGTTAATACGTTTTTTTAAAATAGTTCGTAAAAACGTAAACAAGTTTTCAATTAGTTTAATGAAGTTTGTATACGAGGTGTTAGGTGTTTCGCTGTTCCCGCTCTTGATATACCAATTTTTTTTTAGCATCATTGTCTGTAATTCAGTTACTAAAAAGTACACATCAGAAACTGAAGCTTAGAATTTAAGAGATAATTTTTTTTTCTAAATCTAATAGATAATTATCGACGCTTATCACAAGGGCGGAATTAAAATCGTCAAAAGTTGGTAATTTTATCTGATAAATTAGAAAGGCAATATTTAATAATGCTCTTTAGTATCAACTAACAAATAAATTTGCTTTAAATGTTTTTAATTCCATTTTTGCTGGGACTGATTCATAAGATATCGATGAAGTTTTTATTATTTATTACTTGTTATGAGAAACTTGCGACCTCTAAAGAGCAGATTTTAATAATTTTATTTTTAATAAGACATTTAAAAAATACACATATTAAAGCAGTTATTACATAACACTCCATAATTAATATAAGACAAAATGCATAAATTTTTTTTTTACATTTATTACATTATGAATTTTTATTATAATTTTCAATAAACTTACAGCTAAAAGTATTATATACAATAAAATAAAATAAAGCATTCTTGCTGTTATTTTATTATGGAGGTTAAGGTACCACAATTTCATGACAACGGCATAATTGTAGCAATGTGGTCAGCAATCGGAAAAGGCGCTTTTACTTCCCAGATTACGTATAGTAATAAAAACAAATGTATTCACATATAATGTTTTTTTTTTGACAAACTTGGTGAAAAAACAATAACATGATGTTTAAGCAATCAATTTAAATACTAGAGTTAATAACATTTTCGTATATAAAAATCTTATTACAATAAAGAATACTTACTAGCGTAGAATAGTACATTGTAGACTATATTCAGTTGATAAACATTCTATCTATATTTTATAAATAAAAATCTGAATTCGTTTCTTAGAATTTATCCTAATCTATTGTTATTTTTTCAATTTCGTTGATGAAGCACTTACCATTTTTTGTATCTAGACTGCTTTAATTATTTCCATTTTTTTCATTCATTTTTAATATATATATAGATATATATACACCCATATATCGCAAAAATGCTGTGAAAAAAGAAAAGAAAACCGAGAATAAAACTTGTTTTGTTGAAAAGTCTTAAAAATGTCATTTAATTAAAGTGAAAGAAGCCATTTGAAATCCCTTAAAACCTTACAATTTGAACTTCTTAAGGCAACAACCAAATTAAATTCCGTCAATAATATGAATTGTAACTTTAGCTACGTTAGAGTTAAATATATATTTAAAAAAAAAAAAGAAAAAAAAACGAGTTGCAATAATTCTAAAATATAAAAATTAACGATAATGATGCAGTTTCCAATCGATTTAATTTATTATTATTATTTTTCAAATTCTACTCCTATTCGGCACTATATTATACAAAAAAAATGCAAATAAAAATGACAAAAAATTAATTAAAATATATAACATTTGTCTATATTTATTGCAAATGTTCATGCGATTTGTAGCAATGTAGCAATCGTTTTCGTTACATTCAGCAAATTAAAGAGAACTGTGTTACTTAAATTTTAATATCACTAAAAAAAATACCAAGATTATGTAACTTTTTCTGAGATTTGAAGAAAAAAAACAAAACATTAAATTGTATTTGCTTACAATAGTATTAGAAACAATACAATCAAAATTGTTGGTTACGTTCTTCTGAATCAGATAAACCAAAAATAAAAAAGAATGAATATTCGGAACTATTTCGTAAAGGAAAATGATAAGACGATGCTTGGAAGTTTTACTGCACTATCAATAGTGCCTTGTTTAGGGGTGAAAGTGACACTAAGTGAAAAACCCTGAAAACTTAATACACAAAAACTCGTTATCGATTTAGATACCATACATGTTTAACATAATTTTTTGAACTAAGATTTCTAATCAAATTATCTACCAATGAAGAATATCTCGCTTTATAGTAACTAATTTAAGATCACGATTTAAAAATCATATGAGAATCACCATATTGAATTTTAAAATCACGTGAATTCGTAGTCACGCGATGAATGATTTTTCGATCGCGTAAATTCGAATCACAATGCGTAGCTATTAAATCAAGGAAAAATGAAAATCGATGTTTGATATTACAAACACGAAACACGTGAATACGATTGGCAATATTGGATTTTAAAACCACGTGAATAATACAAATCACGATATTGCATTTTTAATTCACGTGAATATGAATGGCATTGTGTAATTTTTAAATCAGGTAAATACGAAAATCGATGTTAAAATCGCCTGAGTATGAATTGCGTGATTAGTTGATTCCGATGCAGTTTCTAATATCCAAAATGGCGAATATTTCCCAAATCAAATTGGCGGATTTCCACTGAATGGCTAACGAATCACGTGTATGTAAACGTCTCGGGATTTTGCGAAAGTTTCAAAATTGAAATTTTATACTGTGAAACTCAGTGAAAATTTCGTCGGATTATAAGTTTTTGATTTGCGGAAGTCCGCGAACTTTACACGGAGTTCTGCGAAATTTTTGGCAAAGTCTCATGCTCTGCTTTTAGTTTTTAAACACGGAAAGATGATACGAAAAACTTTGAATAGAAACTCGTTATATCGTTATTCAGACATGCAGTTTTTTTATATCTCCAAAATAAATATATTAATATAAATATATAATTCTTAGGAGTAGTAATGGCGATTGAGAACTTTGACAATTTTTTGTGTGCAGTAGAACAAAACAGTGGCAGTAGAAGTATAATTGTTATTGTTTGCTTTATTATCAAAGTCCTCCCAACAGTACTTGTTTTGTTAATTTACGTCGAATTTTTTTTTTAATCAAACATTTAGATTATTCGGGTAAATCCAAGACAAGAGCATTATAGCGGGATCTACTGTACTTTAATACCGTAAAACAAATTATTTTTTCTAGAAAGGGTGATAAAAGACTTGCAGGGGTGTGGAACAGTTTAAAAAGGAATCATAATTTTAAAATTTAGGAAGTTATTTAAGAAATAATGATTTAAATGCGATATGTTACAGCCCGACAGTTGGGAGGGAAGGTAAAATAAAATAAAAATGTTACTCAATGTGTCCTGTTTATAGTACATGTATTTTTGTAAACCAGAAATTAATAAAACGCATAAGTCTCACTATTTTAATTTTTGCTCAAGTAAATTTTTTGTAATTAGATGAGTAAATATGGTGATAAAAGAAAGACATTAGTTATGCTTAGTGACTACAAAGTTGATAGCTTTCCTTTATAATAGCCTTTACAATTATAATTCTGATAGTTGCACAAGGTGAGAAAAAAAAAATCGAAGATCAGCGTGTATTTCATAAGAAAAAAAGTTTACACTCAGCAGTATTCAGAATGGAATACTCTCAGAAGTTTTGTGGTTTTATTTTTTATCAGACTAAATGATTATTAAGAGGTTATACTTACATTACAGTTCACGTAACAAATTATAGAAAACTTTTAACAATTATTTAAATAACCAGTAGTTTTGGCTAATATGTAAAACAGATTTGTAACAGTGACTCTAACATATAGATTGATAAAAACAGATGAAGTTCATTGTTTAAATGCCCTAAGCCTCTGTCATTGAAAATTTTTTTGGTGCTGCTCAAATATTAACCTTAATTTGGTTTTAATAAAAATCATTGTTCAGAAAATGCAAATATAGAAGTAGTGAGATATCAATATTAAAGCAAAATATGAAAAAAAAATTTGTTGGTGCTAAACCAAATTTTCTGAACTAATTAAGTCACTAAGCATCACATTAAAAATTAGCATCATATTTCAAACTGCAAAACAGCTCTAAAATTTAATGCATGTATACTTTAATATTCTACTTATAGAGCATTTTTTTGATTTAGCATATTCTATTAAAAAAATCACAAAGATGGCTATCAAACGATAAGAGTTAAAATCTGTCAGTTATTTTATACAGCTAAAATGAATGAAATGCATATTAATATTAATTTTAGCAATTGCTTTAATAAAAAATAGGAATGTGAACATAAAAAGCAGCTTATAGAGTATTGATAGCAATAAGACATGAAGTACACAGCTAATTTTTTTATTTGCATAGGTAAGAAAAATACAGACAAAGGCACTTGTAAGTAATTACTACATGATACATAAATTTTTAAAAAATATATCTTATAAAGTTTTTTATTTCCATACACACAGTCTCAACAATGATTTCTGATAGCAAAAAATTTTAAATTTAGAAAGAATTCACCGGTAGTTACTATAATAAATTTCAGAAGTAATTTTACAAAGGGAGGTATCTGGGTTTTCTATAATCATCTGGGACAGGAAACATATCCCACCATTAATTAACAAATAATTTACACTTAACATTGTGTATATATTTGATCAGTTTTGTGCTTGCTTGATTTTTGCATTTGGGAGAATCAGATCCTATAGACCACAATAATGAATTTAGAATATTGCGTCTATTAGATCCAGTAGTGATCCTAGTTTAAATATGCACAAGTGGTTTAAAACTATAATTAATGTGGGGAAAAAGATTTGGGATAACATTTCTTTACATATATGTAACAGATAAAATATTATGAAAAAGAAAATTTACATGCAATATTTTCACCAAATAGTTACAAGAACATCACAAGGTAGTGCGCCTAAACCAGCAAGACACTTGCATAATTTTTTACATACTCAATTAATAACTTTGAAACTAATCAAATTTAGAGTTGAACAGAGCTTGACAGAATAATTATTTGGTAATTAAAGGATAAAACATAGCCTAACCATTTCAAATGCAATTCAAGTTAGAATACATATAAACATTCAATAGCTTTTATCAAAGTTAAGTTTTGTTCAAATATCATTGGCACATAGTTCGTTTTTTAGAACAAAACAATTTCTTAACAACAGGTTTTTTTTAGAGAACATGAAATATCACAATTACTATCATCTTTGGCAATCCTACTTCAGTAACTTTATAAGACACAAATAAAAATTATAGAATATTTATAAAACTAAAACCTCAAAAACAATATTCACCAATATACACTTAGCTTTTTGTCCTCTCTGATTAACACAGTAATACAATATGTAAAAAAAAAGTAATATACATATATATATACATATGTATTTGATATCAAGCTACTGTAGTATCACAGCTAAAATAGAACAGCATTTTGATTTCCTGCAGCTACGTTAATAAAGCTACCACTTTTATAAAATGAAAATACCGATGTAAGTATTGAACTAGTATACATTTCTAAGCTGAATAAATTTCTAAAATGTAACTCCTGATAAATTTCCTTCCAACTGAAGATTTGGGCTAGAATTTAAACAAATGAAAAGCACAGCATTAAAATGAATACAATGGTTAAAATAAAACCTATTAAATAATTTAGCTAAAGGTAAGTTCACTTAAAAATGTGAAATGCCTTTGAAATGAGCAGAACTACATAAACATAGAAACAATTTTAATGTATCTAAAACTTAAAATAGCAATAATTTTAAATGGAGAGAAAATTTAGCACTTATCTAGGAGTTAAAACAATTACAATATAAAAAATAAAAGTAAGAAATACATTCAGGCAGAAATATATATCTAAATAATTTTCAAGCCTCACAGTACTGTAAAAAATATAAGAAAAAGTTTATAGTTATTTAATAAAAATTCCAATTATATAGTTATTGCAACTAAAAGCATTATTTTATCAACAAAGATAAGTCATCAATCCACACAATGAATTTATTGCAGTTTACTCACATAGTTCTTCATTTTTGAATTCAAATTAAAAGAAAAAAAAATTCCTGAGTTAGAAATGGCCAGAGAATGTCTTATTTTATATGAAAGTCTTATATGACAAGCAGTCATATAAGACTTTCTGAAAAAAAAACTTAATTTTTTTTGAGAAAGGAAAAAAAATTCAAATTTTTAAACAGAAAAAAAAAAATGCTTTGGCCAGGGGTCAAAAAATTCTTATTGTCATGCCGTTTGAAAAATCAATATTGATTTTTCAAGCAGCAGACATTTTCAGCCTTTGAATCGAAATGCTTTAGTAAAAATATATATTTGTTTAATGTTTATCTAAGAGCTAAAGCTCATTTTTGAATACTAATGCAGGTATTAAAAGTGATTTTATTTAGTATATTTGTCTCCACTTTTAAGACTGTACTTCATACTTCTTATCACTACATTTTTAAATAATATTAAATTGAAAATAATTATAGTTTTAATGTAATTTCATAAAAAGTAAAAAGAAATCTAATTTTCATTAAAAAAATTCTGGCTATGAACAGAAAAAGATCCCAGCTCTTAGAAATTTTGTAGATATCTAACTCATATTCAATGCAAATAAGGAATATGATAGTGAGCTTTGGCTATGACTGTCATTAGAGAAGATTGCACTCAGATTATTTGTATGAGTTGATTCTAGCAATATTTAACTGTCTACATTTTTGAAAATGCATTAGTAACATATCAAAAATGAAAGATTTCAAAATGATGAAAAAAAAAATACAAACATACAAGATATAACCAAAAGAACATTAAAATAAAAAACATACAGATTTTTAATAACAGATGTCATCACGTCTTATTAAAGAAAAACAGTTTAAATTTTTCATTATAGTAGTACTTAGATATATGTATAAAATAATAAAATGTATTATAAAAAATATGTAGAAAATTTAAAAAACAAAAACGGTACTAATAATGTAATTTATTTTCGTCAAAATTAGTATTTTTTTTGCGCATACACAAAGCTCAATTAAGATCTAAAAACGTAGTTTTTAAACTGTGTTTTTAGCAAGCCAAATGCTTAAAATTGTCAGGATAACATTATGAACCCCTTGAATGTTATAAAGGTAAAATATTAATGTTTATATAGTTTACTTGGAAGATGGTTGCATTACAGCAAGTAGAAGTAACAAATTTTTTGCAAAAAAATTTTTTTTTCTTCTTCTTTGTTTTACCTTTTGTTTTTAAAAACTAAAACTTACACATGCATAGTTCTAACATATTTTGTTCGTAGGCAATAATCCAACTACCTTTAGAATTAAAAAAACTATGCTTCTGACTTATTTTAAATACTATGCCATCGTTCATATAATTTTAAATACTATGTTATAAACACCTTTATTTACATTTATAAAAATATAGCACCTTCTACACATCTTTAAAGAAATTCTCACCCTGGTAGCAGAATTTACCGAATGAATTTGCTGCACTATCTTCACAAATTCAAATTTGCCTACAGCCTTAATATAGTCAGATGAAATTATTATCATAAAAATTCAGCATCATTCAACATCCATGTAGCAAATTTTGTAAATATAAGGTCCAAATATATAAAAAATTTATGTTGTTCAAATGTATGTTGAATTTCATATAATTATACTAAAATATATCCAATGATAACAAAAAATCCATATACAGTCATGTCTGTAATCAAGTAACAGAAAAATAATCTTGACTTTTTGTTCATGTTCTTAGCAGTGCATTCATAAGCCAGCTTTTTAATTTTATTTGAAATAAGTTTAGAGATGTTTTAAAAAGTAGTCTCAGCGATTCCCCCAGAGTGTTTTGTTTGCTTTTTCAAAGTAAAAAGAAAACTTAGATGAAAAATAGTCTGCTGCCGTCCTGGAAGGTATCTGTTATAGAGACTCTCACTAAGTATTTAAATAATGAATTTATGGTTTTAAGGCACTACTCACTAAGTATTTAAACTATGTACTTATGGTTTTAAGGCACTAAGTGAAATTTATGAAGAAAATCTTGCAAGTTTTAGTTAAAACCTCTGAATACTGAAACTTATGCTTGAGATGAAAAGATACGCCTGCAATCAGGCAAGTACATGTTCAAGAAAAGAGAATGAATTACATAAAAGCACAAAAATTGAAAATACACTATGATATACTTGAGGTATAATGAACACATTAGATGATATGATACTTTTCAAAAACAGTACATGATGTTTTAAGAGGAATGAATTGAGCTTTTTGATGAACATAGCATTTTTTGGTTATAAGACCAAGCTATTTGTTACTAACACATTAAGAATGAATGGAAAAAAGTCATTTTTACAGCTAAAAATACTTTAAAAACAGCATTTTTTCTTATTGTGTATATTTTCTTGGATGGACAGTAATCCAAATCCTAAAAAGAAAAAAAAAGTTACACCTCCTTCAAATTTACACCAAAATAATAAGATGAGTAAAAAATTTCAAATAATGAGTTAAACATAGATATGTTACATACATCTGGATAACCCAACATAAGATTATTTCTTAAGTTTTATACAAAGTAACAACTAAAAGATAGTGAAATTTTGATAACTAGAGCAAGATTATAAGTTCATAAATAGTGGATTATTGGAACTTTGAAGAGTAGAAAAATTATTTATATTCATATTCTTTTACAAGACAAGGCAAAATATAGCACATAATAGTAAAGAGCTCCCCCGTGTGGAGTCTGGGGTAGAATTGCACCAACGTATTCCTGGCGTGTCGTAAAAGGCGACTAAATGGGTTGAGCACAAGGCCATAAAAAAAATCTACCGATTCAGAAAACTCAAAGAAAAACTTCCGGACCGGCACTTCGTAGACAACCTGGTACGAAATCGGACATGATTTTTGGAACNACTAAAAGATAGTGAAATTTTGATAACTAGAGCAAGATTATAAGTTCATAAATAGTGGATTATTGGAACTTTGAAGAGTAGAAAAATTATTTATATTCATATTCTTTTACAAGACAAGGCAAAATATAGCACATAATAGTAAAGAGTTCCCCCGTGTGGTGTCCGAGGTAGAATTGCACCAACGTATTCCCGGCGTGTCGTAAAAGGTGACTAAATGGGTTGAGCACAAGGCCAATCCCTTTGCCTCATAAAAAAATCTACCGATTCAGAAAACTCAAAGAAAAACTTCCGGACCGGCACTTTGTAGACAACCTGGTACGAAATCGGACATGATATTTGGAACATGGAATGTTAGAACATTATATAGAGGAGGTGCAGTGAAAAAACTAACTGATGTTTTCTTGGAGTACAAATTAGATGTACTGGCTGTTCAGAAATGAGGTGGACGGGAAGTGGAGTAATGGACAAGCGAAATTGCAGTATATACTATAGCTGCGACGACAGATTACACCAATTTGGAACTGGTTTCATTGTCAACAAAAGAATCAGAGACAAAGTTATTGAATTTAAGCCAGTGAACGAAAGAATTTGCAGAATACGAATCAAAGGAAGAATGCATAATATCTCAATTATTTGTGCCCATGCCCCCACGGTGGACAAGGCGGATGAAGTTAAGGATGGATTCTATGACCTTCTTGAAAAGACACAAAGTGAATGCTGTTCAAATGATGTGAAACTGCTCATGGGCGATTTCAACGCGAAGATTGGCCACGATACAAACATGGACAGATTTGCTGGAAATGAAAGCCTACATGAAGAGACAAGCAAAAATGGCATCCGACTTATTAACTTTGCCATTTCTACAAGCATGGTAATAGGGAGTACAACTCTTAAACACAAAAACATACATAAAGCTACCTGGAGATCCCCAGATGGACTAACCCAAAATCAAATAGATCGCATACTTATTGATTTAAGACACAGAAGCAGTCTTCAAGACGTTCGGTTATACCGCGGTGCAAATGTGGACTCCGATCACTTTTTGGTAGCCTCAAAAATACGTCACAAGGTAAATAGATATTATCATAAAAGGAGAGATAATAACGACAAAAAGATTGACATTGAACAGCTAAAGAAGACAGAGGTAATGAAAGAGTACCGAAAAGAACTAAAAAGCAAGATTGAATCAAGTGTCGAAACTGAGACTGCGTGGCAGTCTCTTAAACAAACCATAATTAATGCGTCTGAAAAAACAATACCAGAAATGCAAGGTAAGAAAACCACCTCTTGGTTTGATGAAGAATGCTGTGCCATTACGAAAAAGAAGAATGAAGCGTATAAATCCATGATCCAGAAACGCTACACTAGGAGCGCAGAAGAAACATATAAAGAACTGCGAAGAGAAGAAAAAAGAATTCATAAGATGAAGAAACGAGAATATATGGAAGAGGTATATAAGGACATTGAAAACTTAAAAACTTAAAAGGAAGCAAGAAAATTTTACCAACTGATAAACAATGTCAGAGCAGACTTCAACCCCAGAACAATAACCTGTAAGAAGAAAAACGGAGAACTTACTCGAGACCCGGATGAAGATCTAGCCCGTTGGCGTGAGCACTTCGTAGATTTACTAAGGGGGAGAGATAGAGAAGATCTAAACACTTGTAACATGCTGCCAACCAAGAGTACTGAAGGTGAAGCCATAGAACATAATACACCCACTCCTTACGACATGGAAATAGCGTTGAGGAGGCTAAACAATAATAAATCAGCTGGACCTGATGGCTTAAAAGCCGAACTCTTTAAAATTGACGAAACGAAGCTAAACAAAGCTATATATAGCTTGATTTGTTGTATATGGACAAAGGAACAAATGCCAACTGAGTGGGATGAAGGATCTATTTGCTCTACATACAAGAAAAGTGATAAACTCGAATGTGGAAACTACAGGGGAATTACCCTTCTAAATATTACGTACAAGATCTTCTCCATTATTTTATGCAAGCGATTGGGGACCTACACCTCGGGAATGATTGGAAATTACCAATGCGGATTCCAGAAAGGAAAAACAACGTCTGACCAATCGCATACTATCGGGCAGATCTTGGAGAAAACCAAAGAGTATAACATTGGCACATACCACTTATTTATTGACTTTAAAGCTGCCTACGACAGCATCAACTGAGGAAAACTACTTGAGGCTATGTTGGAGTTTAACATCCCAAAGAAGCTAATCAGCCTCACAAGAATGACACTCAAAAGAGTTTCGTGCAGAATAAAAATCTCGTCAAGTCTCTCTGAAACATTCTTCACCGAAAAAGGCCTGAGACAGGGTGATTCCCTTTCTTGCCTGCTATTTAACATAGCCTTAGAAAAGGCCATTAGAGACTCTGGTATCAACACAAATGGAATAATCTTACAAAAAACTGTCCAACTACTCGCTTTTGCGGATGATATCGACATAGTTGAAAGAACAAAACGCTCAGTCATTGACGCTTTTGTAGCGCTTGAGAGGGCGGCGAAGGAGATGGGACTAGTTATAAATGCAGACAAAACCAAGTTTCTGATCGCAACAAATAAAACTCCAGATCTGAGTAACCATTTTATGAAAAATGACCATAGATATTTAAAAAATATAAAGTTTTAAAATAATTTTGAGATAAAAATTATTATTAGGGAATGATGACTTTTAATAATGAAAAAAAAAGAAGAGAGTTAGCATAATGAATCATATTCTTTTAATGAGGTTCACCATAAAAGAATATTTTAAATATTTTTTAATTCAATAAATCTTATAAAGTAACTAAATTCAATAAGAATCATACCATTTGAATTATCTTCAACCACTCGTTCTTTTAAGAAATTTTCTGCAACTCTATAAAACAGCTCATCTAAAGACACAAGAAAAATAATACAGGAAAAAAGCTACAAATTAAGTAATTGAAGCTGTTATATAATTTACCTAAGTTAGTTTATTCTGAAAAATATCAATGAGAAAAATTAACATACTATTTTCTATCAGACACAAGTGATTTCAAACTATATAATATTTTTAGCATTACAAAATGACAAATAGCTCATTAATATAGTAAATATCCTCCTCATAATTATCAACTTTGTAACCTTATTTTCGAACCAGACATGACTAGCAAATATCAAATAAAAAATTAAGAGAAACTTTTTATAGATTTTTTGATTAAAAGAAGAAAAAAAGCTAAGCTGTAGTTACACAGAGAAGAAAACTACAGAATGTTACATTGGATAGTCGTTAATGATACTTTAACTCATGATCTGTGGGGTCATTTATATCAGTCAACACAAGCCAAGGACAGACTAGGAATCTAGAGCGATTTTACTAAATATCTAATATTTTGGAGTTTACACTGTTCTTTAACAGTTTCTTGAGAAGAAATTAGTTGGTTTATAATTATAGTTTAAATCTGAAAATTTATATTTATATTTGAATATTAAAAATCAAATTTATTATTTCTATTTTAAAGAAAGGCTTTATGCTGAATGGGATTGGTAAAAATCATGATTTTATTACATTTACCAAAAATATCTCTGATTAAATACTATAATAATACTCATGTAACATTAATATACTTAATAACAGCAACATTAAAGCTAAAATACTTAAAACTTCGAAAATTGTTAATTATTACAAACTAATCACAGAATAAATGCAATCATAGCTCCTTTTTATTCAAGATTAACATTCTTCTGATTTGTCAGCTCAATATCAAATGAAGAGTAGATTCATTTAAACAAGAAAACATTACAAAATTAATTATCCTAAATAACTCATGAGAAACAATTTTTATAATTTAAATACACTATTAACATACAGAACTAAAGTATTTGTGTTCAAGTAAACATAAAATTAAATGGGTGCAATTGAAATATAGTAGCACCTCCCATTAAGGACCACCCTAAATATGGGAAACTCTCTATTTAAGGGATAATTCTGTCATTCCTCATCTATTTAAATAGGAGGCTCAGTGTCCTTACTCCTTAATAAGAGAAACTAAAAATGTTTTTAAAAGTAAGATAAGGGTACAGAAAGGCAAAATAAAAATTAAAACACTCTTTGTTACTACATTTATTCATTTTTGTTGATAATTGCTGCCACAGAGAAAAAGAAAAACACATTATGATGCAATAAAAAGTAATTTCCCATTCAAAAAAATTTTTTTTTGGGAGAGGGTGGATAAGTAGGAAGTGAGGAGAAGCATAGAGAAGATGCCTTACTCAAGCACTTATAGCGTAACTACCACTACGAAAAATAAACATCAATTCACTAGTATATAAGACATGATAACTTGATTCAATCTTGAGGTGCCTTTTGATAGATGAAGGTTGGCATTGTCGATAACTCCGCGCCCCCCCATTGGTGACTTACGGACGTAATACGAACACACGCCTATCTTGACAGTAACGCCCACTTCGATCTGGTCACGCCTACTTTGATGGATGGTCCACATTGAACAGTTGACTTGCTACTTGTGACTGCGACATCATTCACCTCTTCATGCTGTTGCCACTCAGTCTCGTCTCGATCATACACAACCTCAGCCTGCATACACTTGACTGCTAATGGCAACCCAGGAGTGACTACGACCATGAAGTTAATACAGCTCTCACATTCAGCACTAAGAAAACCCGGCGACCTTAACCCAGCTATCCTGGTCTGTCACAAGTACAGCAACTAGTGGTATCTGTTCATCGAATTCTATCCCTGATAAAATTCTGGTGGGGGAGTATTGTGGCGTAACTACTACTACGAAAAATAAACATCAATTCACTAGTATATAAGACATGATAACTTGATTCAATCCTGAGGTACCTTTTGATAGATGAAGGTTAGCATTGTCAATAACTCCTACCCCCCACACACTACTTTAGTAGCATTGGGGAAGAGGGAAATAGGGCTCAATGAGAAAGAAAGACAAGATCATCAAATAAAAGTGAATGATTAGTAATTCAAAAGAATATTTATAACATGCATAGAATGAAAATTTCTATCATTACAATCTGGTAACCATTAATCTAAAGCTGGTAGGCTCTAAGACGCCACTGAGGATAAAATCCTTCACAATAGCAGCTCAGTGACTTTAACTACTGACTTATCGCATTTCACCTTTCTTTTTTTTCCCAGGGCAAAACTTTTATTAGTAATAAATAAGATTTAAGTAATAAAATTGTGAATCAAAGAAAACAACTAAAAATCCTATTATAATATTTTTTAAATGCTTATCACCAGCCACAATCACACAACGTAACAGGAGGGAAAAGTATTGTACTACAAAATTCAATGGAAAAAATAGTAGAAGAAACTTACAGCATTATCTATCATAATTTTTTGTTAACTAAAATTGGAGACTCATAGAAAAAAAATATGCTTTGTAACATGAATTTGCCACAAAAATTGTTTTTTTAAAAAGTTATTTTTTAAAAAAATAATAGACTTTTGTAATAAAAGACTATTATAATAAAAGCTTAACTATCCAGACTCGATTTTTGACAAATTCTAGATATGGAAAAATTTCATATAGTTGAACTTCTAAAATTGTTGGTTTTCACAATACTGTATATTTCAAAATAAGTGCCACATCATAATGAAAAACATTGATAAAATACAATGAATTACAGAAAGTGCCCTTTAGAAAATTTTTTGTTCATGAGATTTATCAAAATCAGCAGTCTAGTTTAGGACAAATATATTAAATAAATATTCTTTCGACTAATAATACAAAATAAAATTAATCTAAATATTGATTTTAATTAATTGGTTTAAATTATAACAACCCTGGTGCTTAGCATGCAATTAAAATCAAAGAAAAAAGAAACACGTTTTGTTACTAAAAATATCTTTACTAATCTAAAAATATTTTTACTAAAAATACAGACTTATAACATGTAAATATAACTAAAAATTAATTAATACATTTGAAAATCAGTAGAAGCAATAGAATCAGACACAAAAAATACAATAAATTGAAAGGAAATAAAATGCAAGTTTCTGCAATAGAAATTAAAAAAGAGAAAAAAAATATTATATAGGAATAGCTCATCATAGATGGGATGCTACTAAAAGCTAGCAAGAATTTTTTAGTAAATATTATAGGAATACAAATTCAGTCAGTAGATAGAAAAAGTTATAGAACATGTTTCTGTACAAAGATATTCGCAACCTATTTTATTAAAAATGTTCAGTAGCAGAATCGGCATGGTGGTGGGCATCACAGATTTATTTTAGCCTTGCAGAAAAATTAACCCAAACTTAATAAATATTTACAGTTTTTTCCCCTTCTTTTTGTCGACAAATCAATGTTAAGCTAAAAATAATGATTTTTTCCTGTATTTTCTTCATATTTTTTATCTCACACAGACCACACTAACACACAAAAAATAAATAGAATTTAGTTTTATTTGAAAACAGTGGAATTAAACAAAAATTTGTAAGAGTGTGACATAGTTTTGGCTAAACCTCTGAGTTTATGGGATCCAGAAATTTTACAGGCATTTCTTACATTTTGTTTTATTTTTTAGAATATTGTTTGAAATGCATAATAACTTTAGAACTCAAAATTTTTCAAGTTCAGAATGTTTTAAACTTCATTTAACTTACCTGGTGTTTAGTCTTCTTTTTTTAAAATTTTGCTTGTAATATTTACTAATTTAAGTAAAATAAAAATAATTGAAATCAAAATTATTTTATATTTTAATTTGTTGTTATCAAAGTAAAAAAAAACTTACAAACTAATAACACTTTAATTATCTCAAATTACTTTCTTGTAGTAGTGCAGTTGTTTTTTAATCACATATTCTAGCGTTTAAAATGTGCAACTTTTGAACACAAATAATTTAAAATGCACCACACAGATAAATTTGAGAATCTTACCACAATGTTGCAGATCAAGACAGAGGTTTTTCAAACTGGGTACAAAAGTAATGGGTTTAGTTCAAAAATTAGGTTACATCAAAATTAAAGAATCATAATAATTATTATCGGAAATAAAATACATTAACATAGAAACATTTTTTTTCCTTCAAAAAAAAAAAAAAAAAAAAAAAAAAAAAAAAAAAAAAAAAAANAAAAGAAAAAAAAAAAAAAACTTACAGACACCTTCTCCTGTTTTACTTGATGTTTCAAATACTTCAGCATTAATTGTTTCAGCAAAATCAGTAACATTGTAATAATCAACAGTTCGACGCTTACGGTCAATTGCAACTAAATCTTTTTTTGTTCCACATAAATATATACGACATTTCTGGAATAAAAAAATATATTAACTGATAAGAAGTTAAAAAAAGTCATTCATTTTGAATATAATTTTAACCACTACAAATTTTCAAAATAAATATCTACCAGTTAATGTATTTAAAGTAGTTTTTTCTGAATGAATTTTTAAAGAAGTTTCAATTTTAAACTATTTATTTTCTTATGCAGAAAGATATAATTAAAAAATCTTAAAAGTTTTGAGGGAAATATATATTTGTCTGTTAATATAATTTTCTAATTTGTGAACTAATTCTCACATACTTCAGAAAATATGTTTTTAGAGTAAGGAAAATTGGTGCAAGGTACATGGGTAGAATAGGGAAAATTGGTCCAAGGTACCTGAGACCACTGGATGTTACTCCTTTGATAACACTTATTTTAAGTTCTTTCTTTTTAAACTTGCAAGCTGGCAAAATCTGGATATTCATGCAATTGAAATTCATTTTAAATAGCCTGAATAAGCTAATATAAAATAAATTAATAATTAACTTTAACCCAATTATATTATATTGGAATATTTTAAAAATTTATAGGCTTACTAAATGTTTGTTTGCACACTGTGTGGGGGTGATGTGCTTGTACTAACTAAACATGTTGCATTTGATCCAAGGAACAACAAGTATACTCATTACAATCTGGTAACCANTAAGCACTGTAAGGTTTCATTTTTCATTCAAATTGCTTGAAAAAAATTATTTAGCAACTAAAAAAAAGTTTTCTAACACATGCCTGGAGTACCTGAAATGGGCAATAACACCACAGATAGTGTCCATTACCACATATTTAGATGCCAACCTGGAATTATAGCTACCCTCAATATTTAAAGTGGTAGCGAAATAACAATTCGTGTAAACTTAATTGTTGAATTTTCAAATCACTTCAAGTCCCGCTTATCAGGTCTTACACTTTAGCTTAAATTGTTTATATACAGTGGTGGTCAAAATCATCTCAAAACAAATGTATTAAATCAAGTATAAAATGCCTAAATGTAAAATTGAAGCGGTCAATGTTAAAAGGGGGCATGTAACCTTTTTATGAAATCAATTCAACCACTTCAATTTCAACCACTTTAAATATACAAAAAAAAAAAAAAAAAAAAAAAANAACACAGCAAGACTCCGTCTCAAAAAAAAAAAAAAAAAAAAAAAAACCTGTAAAAAGGCGCAAAATTTTTCCATTTCTATTAAAATTTCAAATTACAAAGCAACCTTACAGAATGGTATTAGAAGAAATAATTATTTAAAAAGAAATAATAGCAGCATAGCATTAATTTTAATAAGCTATACACAATTCAGAAAATAAAAATTTTAGGCAGTCTCTGAATATAAGATGTCTAAATGTAATATCTTCTTGAAATGCATGTTAAATTAGATTAACAAGGGTATGCTGATTTTTTCTTGAATTAAAAGTCTTTTGATATGACACGTTACTAACATTTTAAAATACAAAGCAAAGAGATTAATGATAAACAAGTATCATCACAAAATAACTATAAATAGACAAATTTTGCACTGCAGACCTAATAGATTTAAATTTAAAAAGAAAATTATAAAAAAAGCATTTTGCAAACATAAATTAGTCAACCTTTCGCTAAGCTATTAATAACTACAAAACAGTTTTACAGAAAAAAAATTAAAATTACTGTAGCCAAAAGACTAAATTGAAATTTTTTAATGATATATCTACTAATGATATTTTAATTCTTACACATTTTAATGTTGATAAAATCTTCAGTTAATTTACTAAATTTTACAAATTTACTGGTCTGCCAACTACAGTGCTTTGGGGCAAATATGTTTTAGAGTAGAAGACAATTGAAAACTAAACTACTTTGGTAATTTTGCCAAAATTTTAAAAGTCTCATAACAAGAGAGCTGAAATAAAGTGGTGTATCATATATATTCTTGAATCTTTTAGATGCAGTGGTATGAAAAATAACTTTAAATCAAATTTATGAAACAAAGAAATATGCATGGAAACAAACTTTGCTACCACAAAAAGAAATTTTCTCAAAAAGCAAAAAAATCAGTAGCCCTGCATTTACACAATTCTGTTATGCATATTTTTGAGAGTACTGTAACAACAATTTTAACCGTTTTTTAGCTAAAAAATTCAGAATGAAAATTTTATGAAGAAACTACAGTAGTAATCACAGAATTCAATTACTATAAATAAGGGGATATACTTATACTTACACTCTATGATGCTTAAAAAAAATATTAGGTGAGCTCAAAACACAGATAGTTTAAGATTAATAATTTTGCTTACTTAATGCTTTATAAAAGCCACTATGGTACTGTGATTAAAATACTGAGCTATAATTTTGAAGAACAAGAGTTCTGTCAATAATGGTGACGAGAACTCCTACCAGCTTCAAACTGATTTTATATCAAGTTGCTTGGGACATAAAAGTGGCCATGTACACATTGTTGTACACTGCATTGTACATTGAATACATTACTATCATTATGCTCGAAATTGCGGAACTCAAATCTCCATGATCCCTTGTACAACAACTCGCAGTTGAGGGATTGATTTACTTTTCTTATGAGACATGTCCCAGTAAAAGGATTCAAATCACTTGAAACTTTTCTCTGCAATCTCTTAAAAGAAAGGGATAACCATCTCTTGGATAGATAGTGTACTTGTGTGGATAAGTGTTATATATATAAAGAACATTGATGTCAGAATTAAGATCAATAATTTTTTACAATTTCGACGTTTTAATATATTCGAGATTTAAATTTCTAATACATTTTAAATATTTTCAATTTAAGAGCTAGACATACATTTAGGCTAAATCTTATCACTAGTCTTCTTAGACTGGATATATTACACACATTTATAGGTTAACTATTAGAACTATCATTTCTACCTCTTCAGCTTTTTGAAGCTCAGCAACCCAAAACTTAGCTCTATCAAAGCTATTAGCATCTGTAACATCATAACATACTATAGCAGCATGTGATTTGCGGTAATATATTCGTCCAATAGATTCATAACGCTCACTTCCTGCAGTGTCCTATTAAAAAAATATAACTAAATAAAAACAAATAAAAAAATTAAACTTTTCAATTGCTCACTAAGTAAAAATAATAATACTAAATAAAATTATAAACCAAAAATAAGGTATAACTTTAATAGGTAAATTAAGAAAATAAAATCTTTTCGATAAGAAAAGTAAAATATAAAGCATAAGGTAAGACACAAGTTGAAAAAAGAAATAAGATACAGTAAAAAATCAATGTAATGAGTATGATTACAATGGAATATTAAAGGTAAAAAAATTGTACATAGAAATTACTAGTCTTTCTCTATTGTGACAAATTTCTTCTGAGGAGAATACCATTTTCTGTTAAGTAATTGAGTAGTTTACATGCAAAAGGAACATCGTTTCACCTTATTTTCAATTTAACATCAAAACCCTTTATGTTTATAAAGCAAACATCTGCTAAGTGTTCTTCAGCTTAGCTAAAAGAAAGTGTCTTTAATTGAGTTCATATCTAGATATATCCCTTCTTGACAGTTTTCTATATTTTTACATTAAATATAGAAATCAACATTCAATGATATTGATGATCTGAAAATTTAATACACTTTCTTTTCTGCGTCTTTTAAAAATATGTTATGATTTGACAACTTTTTTAAGTTATAATGCTAAATGAAGTTTAGTGTGTGGAAGAGAACATAGTATCATAAATTTTTATAGCTATTTTTACATCAAATATTAATATTTACATCAATGTAAAAAATTGTATGTTTATTCAGAGATAGTACGGTTTTGTGTCTCATTTTGTAGCTTAAAATATCGTCTGCACTAATTAGTTAGCATGTATGAGGTCACTCCCTCGAATCATTAAGAGTGAGTCCTAAAACATGAAGATCCGATCATTAAATCAAAAGTTATTTAGGGTGGCCCATTTATTTTTGCTTACTTTACTAAGTTTGTTACATACATACACTAAATTTTAAAACCCAGATTACAAAATACAGTAGGGAACCGATTATCCGGAACCATCGCTATTCTGGATAACTGATTTTTCCGGTTTTCTGAATCGATGCAAAAAGCCGTTTTTTTATTGTTAAACACAACTAAAAAACACAAAAATAGTTAGAAATAATCTTAAAAAGAAGAAAAAACGATGAAGTAATACACTAATGATTATTTCCAAAATGATGGTAAGGTAAACATCTTTCAAAAAAGGAGGAAAAAAAATTTATGAGGAAAAAAATTCTTTTTAAAAAAAATGGCGGGAAAATTTATTGAATTTCGTTCCGGTTTTTTGATTTCCAGATAACGGGTTCTGTACTGTATCTTTAAGTGCCAACTTAATGAAAGACATAATACAAAAACACAAGCATATAGAAATATATTGATACATGAAACCTGGATTAGTGTTGCTAAACTTCATTATTGAATCTTTTTTAAAAAATAGAGATCTATTTTTGGTGATAAGTGTACTTTCATTGATCAGAATGAAGTTGATTATTTTATGAATAATTCCTTTTAAGCAAAAGTTAAAATATTGAGAAAATCATTTAAAAGGAGAAAATAAGGCCAAATATAAAAAAAAAGCAAATCTATTTTGCTAGTAGCAATATTGTTATTTAAAATAAATAAAGTTTATCTATTTTCATTTCTTACAAACGTAAATAAAAACAATGACTAAAATAGCTAGAAAACATTTAAAAAAACCAATAGCCATCAAAATAAATATTTATATACACACCCATAATCCTAAAGTAAGAATTTCACCATGAATTTCTATCTTCTTGGCACCAAATGCAGCTCCAATAGTCTATAAAAAAACAAAGAGTAAAATTAATTTCAAATTTTTTTAACTGATTAAATTAGTTATTTGTATGAAAAAGTTAGATCCCCAAAAAACATAACAATTATATCAGAACTAAAGAGGTAGTAAATTATATAAGATATTGACTACAAAGTAAACAATGATTTTTTTTAAAAAGTTTTTTACTGCAAAAAATAAGAACATACAACTATAGTAGAGCACTACTTGTGAGTAAAATAATAAGCTATTTGTTGAACATTTAATTCAAATAAATATTTTTTGAATATTTTTGGTGTAAATGCTTTAATATTACACAAGTTGTAACAGATTCTTAATTGAAGTAATCATTTTTAAGTAACATTTCAGATAACAAATCTGACTGATTTTATACACATGTGATTTATAAATCACTTTTTAATAAAAAGAAGAAAAAAAATACAACTGGCTGTACAGGTTATATTGTACAGGATAAAATAATTAACAATAAAAAAATATTTTTATCACATAAGGATTCCTCTAAACTATGTGGACACAGCTCATTTTGATTTGTATTGTTTTGTAAACAACAAAGCTTGACTAATTATTAAAGTAAACCATTATTTCAATATTTTTTCAAAAATAAAGTAGCTTTATAGATGAAGAATGCCTTTTTTATAATGGAAAAACACACACATTTAAAAAAATACTTGGCTATGTCCATACCGTACACCACACAAATGCTCAGGAATGTCCAACATATATCTATCTATTGGAGATTTTTTCTATACTAGCACCAGTTCATGTCTGTTAAAGCCAAGTGCCAAAACAGACCAGTTCTCATACTTTGATAAAACTTCAAAAAAAATATGTAAAGTGATTTGCAGGGAGGTGGATACAAGTTTTACCCATTAAGTTTATCTGATCTTGGATTATTTTTCAATAATTTCTCGCATGCCATTGTTCGGTAACTGCAAAAGTTTGGCCGAATTTAGAAAATCTTCCCTAGTGCAACAATTCACTGTTTTAAAGAATATCCTCAAGTTATAAGATGTATGCAAAAAATCTAAACTTACATTTTGGTATGAATTTTCTCCAATAAACTGATCATAGACAAATCTTTCTACAAGGCTAGTCTTTCCAGAGTATTCTTTTCCCAGGAGACAGATTTTAACATCCACTTTACTCATGTCTGCTTATATAACACAAAAGACATTCATTTCTAGAAGATAAAAAAAAAAATTAAAAAGATTGAATAACATATATTTTTTACTGATAACATTATTGCATGGTGTTAAGCACATTTTTAAGACTTAGCACACTTTGTAAGCATTTTCATAGTTTTATAAAATTCAACAAATTAAAAAAATAAAAACAAATTAATGAAAACCGCATTCATTGAAGATTTATTAATTGCTAGATCAAAAAGATTTATTAAGAAATTGTACTAATAGTGAAACATTCAAAAAAATTAATAAGAGACCATCAGTGTTTTCAGAAGTGGGAAATCATAACATTATTCTCACATGTTGAAATCAGCTGGCTGTCAAGGCCTTCAACTTTGTCAAAACAAACATTTACGTTCACTCATACATTAGACTTAAATCTTGCTTTGTGTTTTTCAATTTTCCAGAAGATAAACACTGTGATCATAAAAGAAAGTTTCACATGCGTAATAATGAAAGCAAATTCCACCTTTGTTTATAATTAAATCAAATGAGTCATTTCTTTCTTCAATCAATCAGTTTAAAGTTTTTGATTCCATAATTTTTTTGGAGACCAGCTTTTGTCTCAAGTGCTTATGTGACGCATATGCGTCGTATGAGCACATGAGTATGCACTTGAGTATGCATTAAAGAGCCATCCTCACTAAATACAGTTTACGCACTTGATTATCAGCCAAAGAGAATGAGAGCCTGATTGATGAAAAATATTTTCCGCTTAAAACCCACCAATCAGGTTCTTCATTTTTCTCAGCGGTGACTGAAAAATCGTAAATCACATTCACTGAGTGAACACTTCGTTTCTACTGCTAGAAAGGAAAAGTCATCCACCATTCATACGCTTTTTAAAATATCTTTTTTAGTTAAATAGAGAATATGGATGGTTGACCGTGTAAAGTTAAGTGCAGATGGCGCTAGTGATTAAGATTCGATGTAAGACTTCCAGGTTTATTACTTTCGAATGATTTTTGTCCTAAGTGATAGTGAGAGAATTAACTACGGCTTTTAAATTTTTAAGGACTTTAGTAACCCTAGTATAAACACATACTCTCGCAAGGAAGTTTTTGTTCATTTGTAGCAGAAAACAAATTAATATTTCTCAATTAAGAAATATTTTTAAATTTATAATTTTTTTTAAATTATTATTTTGCATACACACAAAAATTTATGTTTAAATAAAAGGAAGATGATTAAAAATTATGCACAAACTCCTATAAAAATCAGTCGAACATTATTTTTGCATCAGTTAAAAGTGATATTACTAATTATTATATTATTATTATTAAATCTTTATTTATTTATCAGTTGAAAATGAAACTTTGAAGGCTGAAACTCCAAAATTTTAATTATTTATGCTTTGAAATCTTGAATTTTGGAACATAATTAATTTCATACCAAATTAATAAAACAAAGATAATAATAATTATAAATTAACAAAATAATAACGAATTACTTACCTCAAGACTCATTGAAGAGAGAAAATGTACTCAAATTTTTATATATGTTCTCAAATGTCCGTGAATTGTCCAAAAACATCTAATTGATTTCCTATTCAGTAAAATATATGTATATATGTGAAAAAATTCCGCAATATGCAGATTTTATTTTATATTTTGATTTGAATGTTTTATATTTTGTTTCACAGAGAATTGGCAATCGAGATGGGCTGCAGGTGGCGTAGAGCAGAACTCTGTACGTATGGTAACACTTCGCATGCCTTCCCCATTAGCGTGTGGAGAGTCATAGAGGAAGGAAGTACGTTAGTTTCTCTCTTGATTTTCCTATAGATTAAAATCATTTAAGTAGGAAAACTATATGGAACTGAAAACTGCATTAAACATAGTTCTAAAGAAAAGTATCACGGAAATTTAGAAAAATATTTTTATTAAATAAAAAGGAAAAATATTAAGAAAGGGGAAAATATAGTACTACTACACTCCTGTACAACAGAAAAGAGGAGGAGAGGGAAGGGAAAAGGGTCAAAGGCATGAAACCGGTCTCTCCCTAGATGGCGTATTCGAGCTTTGCGATCGCCATCGCCAATACAATCAAAAAAAAAAAAAAAAAAAAAAAAAAAAAAAAAAAAAANAAAAAAAAAAAAAAAAAAAAAAAAAAAAAAAAAAAAAAAAAAAAAAAAAAAAAAGAAATCCATGCTAAAACTTATTCATTTTTTGAGTGTTAAACAAATTCAGAATATCATAAGAAAAAATCAAAACCATTTAGTAATGATATTAAGTCTGATGAAGATGGTTCTGCATCCGATGTTAGTTATTAATTAAAAAGCAAAAAGAAAGCTTTGTTGCATATATAAATTAATATTTTCCATATAAATATGTATGGCTGTCCTAGAATCGTAAACGTTTTTGAGGACGCATTACTGATTTGTCCTCAAATCATGGTTTAGAAATATGGGCTAGAGAGATGAAAAATTCTAAATCATGAACAGCTGTAGTAAGGAACTTGAACTGCTGTTTCTTACAGAGTGCCTGTCCGCGAAGAGGACAATTGACTCTTTCATATGAGCTTGAGCCCGTGGGCGCAAGTAATGTTGACAATGGAAAGATGGGTAGAGTGGCGAGCGAAAACTCAGAGGCGGTTGTGCTGTAGTAAGGAAGTAGATTTTCCTCCTTAAATTGTTGAAAAGTCATGAATGATTATTTTTCAGATTTTTATTTCGAGTTTACAAACGTAATTTCTACACATTTCTGCTGGAAGATACCTTTTCTCCTAAAGCCTACTACTAAGAGAAATATTTAGTTACAATTTTGGGCCGACTAGGTGGCCGAGTGGTTAGCGTGCCTGACTGCGGAGCCGATGGTTGCCGGTTCGAATCCCACTCAGGGCATGGGTGTTTCTTTCTTTCTCTGTGTTCTATGTCCTTTCTTCTGTGTGATTGTGTGAATGTAACCCGCCGTATAAACGGGTTTGTGGTTGTATGACGTGGGCTACGCTGCTCTACCGCCGTGGCTTAGCCATAGGTGCCCACTGAGTAACGATAAGAGAGTAGCAATTCTGGCATTTTTGAGGCCAATGGGAAATAGCCCCAAGTGCTTGCCCTTAACCAAAAAAGAAAGGTTTCAATTTTGGTTAAAAGTGGATTAGATGAGTGGTTAGGAAGCCCTCGCAGTGTGAATCTTTCTAATTTTTGCGTTGAAAGTTTCAGCAAAGGGGGAAAGGGATTATTTAAAAAATAAATTTTTTCTTCTGAAAATGTAAAAAAGCTGGAGGTACGCTTTCTTGAAGGATTAGAGTCAAAAAAAGTTCCAAAACATGGATAGCTGTAGCAGGGAAGGAGATTATTAGGGGTGGGATTGCCTCTTCAAACTGAAAATTAAAAACATATAACTTTTATAATAACATATTACATATAACTTTTATATCATGTAACATATAACTTTCATGTAAACTTTTAATAGTTTTTTTTTATGCAAATGCCTTTTTTCTAGATATCCAAGCTTCTAGAACCCTTTTCCATTCTCATACAACTAAAAACAGTAAAAATATTAAAAAACAATTTTGACAAAACGCGGGTGCGGGCGGGGCATTTCTTGGAAGATTCCCCTTACTAGGGGTTCCTGACTCATCTGCTTTAATCCAAAATTGTTATTAAGAATATTCCATATCTGAGGTTGTTTTGGGGAGGAAAAAAGGAACTGGAGGCTTGAATATCTATAAAGTAAGTTAAAAAATTTAGAAAAAAAAAAACTACTTCAAAAAAATTTATTCATTTTAATGACTACCGAGGATCATAATAGATTTTTTTTTTTACTATCTAAGGGTCAAACCCAAACTTCATTCCTAGCTACCTTAATTGTTCATGAAATAATTTATAACTGTTTAACCCAGGGATGGGCAAACTACGGCCCGCGGGCCAACTGTGGCCCGCCGGAAGATTTTATCCGGCCCGCGGACAGAATTTTAACTTTTCACTTTCTCTATTTTTGTTCTACAAAACATAAATTAATTAAAATAGTTAGTATTAACAGCTTCAATTGATAAAATGTTGAAAGCAAAAGTCCCTTATAGAATAGCCGTAGATTAGCTCCAACTAGTATTTGTCTTTCTCGAGGAGCAGACATATGGAATCTAATATAGGTGAATTGTACTTCACATGAGACTTTACGCATTTTAAGTTCCAACGAGCGGGTTTTCTTCCGGCGTGAGTTCTAACATAATTTACAGCGTATGGAAAGGCTGCACACATACAACGTCATTGAAAAATAATGGTGAAATTATTAAATGTATGAAATGGCTACTGCCTTTTTGAGTTATTTGTAAACAATTTTAATCCCAAAATGGCAACCAAAAAATGCAAAGTTGATGTAGAGTGCCATGCGTTCAATGATGAATTGACTTTATTTTATTTCAGAAGTTAGAATTTTTATTTCAGAAGTTTTTACTCGGCCCACCAAATTTTTTTTCTCCAGATTTTTGGCCCACGGCCAAAAAAGTTTGCCCATCCCTGGTTCAACCATTCTAGTAGTCTATGCAAGCGGTTTCCAATATTCTCCAGCTACGAAACCCTAAACGATCAACCCCGAAATAATAAATAAATTTCATTAGCAATTATAAACCTAACCAAAGAAACACTGCTAATTATTTTAAAAACATTAATGTTCATTTTTTCTTCGTTTTATTAATAGTCTTAAAATTAAATTTCATGTTAGTCAGTTGAATTCACAGGTCAGAAGCGTCAAGCTATGATTTTGTTCTAAACGTATGCATAAGCTGAAAATGAAAAAAAAAAAAAAATTAGCAGATTTATGGCTTTTGTTAAAATGAAAATGAACAATGAAAGCTGAATGAACTGTCATAAATGCTGAGAATTCTTATCAAAGAAATATATATTAATTGATTTTTAATATTTTTCCTCCTTGAATCAAAAAGTTTGATTGGGAATATTAATGCAAATCTTTTATAAATGCTAATCATTTAAGTAATTTATTCAATACATTAAAAGAATAACTGTATAAATAATTACCTAAAAATAACCGAAATATTAAGTAATAAAAGGATTGTTTTGATTAGATATAAAATCATTACTGTTTTTTTTTAAATGTTTTATTACCTTATTTCCTTATTACCGGAAACCTTGTTACCATTCCACGAAAACCTTGGCTTCTACGGAGCATCTTTTGCGAACCACTGGTCTTGGCAATAGAAGATTTTACCAGGAAAAATAGCAGATGTTTTTATTTTTCGTATATTTTTTTCCTTTTTTTTGGGGGGGGGGGATGCTGAACATTGAGCAGCATTATGCGACGAAATTTTTTCAGAAAAAAAACTGGAAAAATCTCGTTTTTTTGCCAATAATTTTATTATTTTTTTTGATTTAAAATAAGTAACTTCTGATGATCCATCTGGAAACTAAATGAAATCTCCTACAAAATATGCATCTACTATTCAACAGTAAAGTAATTATATTGAAAAATTACGAGTAAGAAAATAATTACTTTTAACTCTTGAATCATGTCTCGCTCAGTATTTTAACGAAAAAAAACGGGAAAGAATAACTAATAGAAGTTTGAAATTTTATAAAATGTCT